TTTGATTTCTACAATACTTTCCTAATTGATCACCTCGCTTCCAGCATTCTTCATGCATACTCAGAGTGGGTTTCTAAAACCCTAAATTTAATTGAGTCATTCTGTGGCATAAACCCTATCTTGAGTATCTTCCCATTGTTTGTAGGATAAAAAAGGAAATGTGACTATTACCTCTAGAGCCATGTATGATCTGGCCCTTGCCTGCCTCTCTTCCCTCATTTTCTACTATTCTCCTCTTGACTCAAAGTTCCAGCTCAATTACCAATTCTTGAAATAGCAATCAACAAATTCCTTCATGCTTTAGGTTCTTAAATATAGTGTTCCCTCAGTCCATAAAGTTCTCATTGGTTTTGTAACCTGTACATTTCTAATTCCTGTTTAGTAGCCTTTAAGTTCAAAGAGGACAGGGCCTTTGCTTTTCTCATTCCCGTTAATTCATATCTAGCATAATGCCACGCGTACACTAGACCTTCAATTCTTGTACGTCGAATGACTGAGTAACTGATGGAATGAATGAACTTCTACACCCAGTGGTACTTAGTGTTTTCTACCTGATCACTGCATGAGTCTTCTTTGGTTCTATTTTTTTTTTTAAGATTTTATTTTTCCTTTTTCTCCCCAAAGTCCCTGGTACATAGTTGTATATTTTTAGTTGTGGGTCCTTCTAGTTGTAGCATGTGGGATGCTGCCTCAGCATGGCTTGATGAGCGGTGCCATGTCGGCGCCCAGGATCTGAACCAGCAAAACCCTGGGCCACCGCAGTGGAGTGCACAAACTTAACCACTCGGCCACGGGGCTGGCCCCTCGTTGGTTCTATTTGACACCAGTCTTGATTTACGTCACAGTCTCCTTCCATGCTGCTACTGTGGTGATCTAACGATGAATGAATCTGATGTCACCACCGTATACAAAATTGTTCAGTAGCTTTCCATTAACCAAAAGTTAAAAGTCTTCAACTTGTCATACAAGGCCTCTCATGATTTGGTACCCATTTACCGTCCGCTGTTGTCATTCCTTTGTCTTACCTTTAGTATAGAATTACAAAGCTGAAAAATGAAGAGATAAAATAAAACATCTAAAAATAGTCAGCAGTCCCAGCTGCTAACTTATTGGTTGGCATACTAAGCTCTGAAGGCCCTTTGTTGTATTGATTTAATTAATGTATAGAGCAAAGAACTGAAAGCGGCCAGAAAAGCTGGATGGATTAATATTAGAAAGAGCGAAAGCTGACCTCCAATCAAGGTGGCTCCAGGAGTTCACTTTTTAAATCCCTCTGTAGCAAATATATAGCAATGATGGATAAAATATACAAATAGAAAACCAAAGAAACATAACTAGGCTCAAGAAGGATATCTCTGTGGACAGGTAATGGAATAGAAATGCAATGATCTGGGCTGAAACCATTAGCTGCTTTCCAGAAGCAGGCTTTTGGCTCCTATGACCTAAAGAGAACTTAAAATATATCATGAATAAAGCTTAAGGCTTAGGAGCTAGGCTATGGCTTCCTCAGTTCCTGGAAGAACACTGAAAGGGTGTGAGTACATTGCTACTCAGTTAAAATTGACATTGTGCTATTAAAGAAGAGGAACATGGATATTAACTATGTGACTGGTGATGTTAACCATATTAGAAAATAATGAAAATAAGTGAATTGTGTTCAACCTAAGAACTTAGAAACAGAATAAAGCAAAGAGAAAGAGAGATCAGAGAGAAGATATAAAGAAAATGAAGAAAGAAGTAGTAAAAATAACAGCAGAAATTAGTGAAATAGAAAGCAATGAGATAAGATCAAAACCAAAGTATTTTTTTAAAATCTGATAAAATATGTATGTCTAATAAAACTGATAAAGGCATAAAAATAATATCAGAGAAGGCACAAATAATCTTTAAAAGGATTCATTGCAACTGATAGGATTGAGATTTTTATATTGTAGACAATATTGTAAGTAACTTCACACCAATATATTTAAAAACTTAGATTAGGGGCTAGCCCCGTGTCTGTGTGGTTAAGTGCATGCGCTCCGCTTCAGTAGCCCAGGGTTTCGCTGGTTTGGATCCTAGGCATGGACCTAGCACCGCTCATCAAGCTGTGCAGAGGCAGTGTGCCACATAGCAGAGCCAGAAGGACCTACAATTAGAATATACAACTATGTACTGGGGGGCTTTGGGGAGAAGAAGAAGAAGAAAAAGGAAGATTGGCACCTGAGCTAACATCTGTTGCCAATGTTAAAAAAAAAAAACCTTAGATTAAAATAGGTAATTCTTTTTAAACTATAGGCTGTCAGAAATGACTCAAGAAGAAATAGAAAGTCAAACTAAATAAGTGACTTTTAAAGAAAATTATCTTCTAATAAACAATATTCCTTTTTCCACCCTGCTCTTCCCTTGCCCGTTCATTCCCTGCCCCCTGACTTCAGGAGTGGAATGTCCTGAGACTCAGGCCCTGAAAGTTTTAGAGGAGAATTTTCATCCATCTTCTAGAGTCTTTTAACTGTTTCAAAGAATTGGTGAGAGAAAGTTACTTAACTCAATTTTTGAGGCTTGTGTTATATTGCTACTAAGACCCAACAAGAGTAGTATATGAAAAGAGAATCATAGTCCAATCTAACTCATGGACAAAATGTAAAAAACTCTATTGGCAAATTTAGTTTGGAGTCTGTCTATTGGTCTGTTTATCTGTCTGTCTACTTGCCTACCTACCTACCTACCGATTGCCATCCATCCATCTGTCCATCCATTCAGAGTTTACCCCAGGAGTACGGGCATCGTTCATGGTCAGAAAATATATAACATTTCAGGTAACGTTGATATGACTATATAATAGATTGAAAACATTTGATAAGGCCAGGATTGTGGTGACCTCTGGGGCATGAGGGAAGGATAGTGAGGTCAAGACACAATCCATGGTAGACTTTAGTTATAGCCACATTGGTTAATTACGTTTTAAAAATCTAAAACACCTATGAAAAACATTAGGATTTTATAAAGTTGATTGTATACATGTATATCTTGATACTTTTTATGTATTCTTTGTGTAATTCTATGGATGCTCATAAATATCACATAATAAATATCAACAAAAAATAAAAGGTAGTCCACCTATAGAAAGGAGTAGAACTGAAAAGGAGGTAGGACTGAGCAAAGGACCAAGTCTTGGGAGAATTTTCGGAGAGTGAGTGAGGTGTAGTTACTTTAGTGAGAAAAAGTTTGGGAAAAGAAATTTTAAGAAACAGTTATTAATGTTAGGAATGCAATTCCTTATTACCTCCTATTTATTGATACTTTAATAAGGATTTAAAATTGTTTTCCATTATGTTTTGGGTATCATGCTGGTGTTTCTTCTGAATAGGAAAATATGCTGAGCTTTGCCTAGTCTACAAGTATTTCTTCAAATGGCTGGTTGCGCATCTGCATTCCCGTCTACCTGGACAAAATACTCATTTTTTTCCTCCTCTTATTGCCTGGCAAACTCCTACTTATCTTTGAGTCTTAAATTCAGCATTCCCTTCTTTGTGAACAGGCTGTCCCTTTTTCACGCAATAGTGAGTTTCTTGAGAACCTGGACTATTTATTTTCATGTTTGCAATTCCCTGGCCCAAAGTAGATGCTCAATAAATACTGTTAAATTAGTGAGCAAATTAATAAATGAGTTAATGAGCAATCTTTAAAAAAGAGATTTATTGAGATATGATTTATATTTTATAAAATTCATCCTTTTGAAGTGTAGAATTCACTCATTCTTAGTATATTTGGATATGTGCAGATATCACTATAATCTAATTTTAGAACTTTTTCATCATCTCAAAAACCTAGTACTCATCAACCATCATTAACCATTTCACCGCCATCCCAGCCCTAAACAACTGCTTATCTACTTTCTGTCTATATATATTTGCCTATTCTGGACACTTCATGGAAGTGGAATCATACAGTATATGGTCCTTTGTTGATTGGCTTCTTTCCCTTAACTAATGTTTTCAAGGTCATCCACGTTTAGCATGTATCAGTACTTCCTTCCTTTTTATTGCTGAATAATATTTTATTGGATGGATATACCAAATTTTGTTTACCCATTCATCATTTGATGAACATTTGAGTTTGTTTCTACTTTTTAGCTATCATGAATAATCCTGCTGTGAACATTCATGTACAAGTCTTGTGTGTGTACATTTGTTTTCATTTCTCTTGGAGGGATACCAAGGAGTGGAATTGCTGGGCCATAGGGCAACTCTGTGTTTAACTTTTTGAGGAACTGCCAAACTATTTTCAAAAATAGTTGTACCATTTTACATCCTACCAGCAATGCGTGAGGGTTTCAATTTCTATATATACTCAGCAACACATTATGGTCCATCCTTTTTATTGGAACCATTCTAGTAGCTATGAAGTGGTATTTCATTGTGATTTTGATTTGTATTTTCCTAATGACCAGTAATATTGATCACCTTTTAATGTGCGTATTGGCCACTCATATATCTTTGGAGAAATATCTATTCAAATTGTTTGCCCATTTTAAAAGTTGGGTTTTCTTATTATTGAGTTCTAAGAGTTCCTTATGTATTCTGGATATAATCCCTTATTAGGCATATGATTTGACAGTATTTTCACTCAGTCTATGTGTTGTCTTTTTACTTCCTTAATTCTGTCATTTGGAGTGTAAAAGTTTTTAATACTGGTGAAGTCCAATTAAAAACAATTTTTTTAATTACTTGCGCTTTTGGTATCGTATCCCAACATCATGAAGATATAGATCTCTGTTTTCTTCTGCAGGTTATTTAGTTTGAGCTCTTATATTTAGGACTGGGATCCGTTTTGAGATGGTTTTTTGTATGGTGAGAGGCAGAAGTAAATTCATTTTTTACATGTAGACAATCGGTTGTCCCAGTGCCATTTGTTGAAAAGACTATTATTTCCTGAATGAGTCTTTAACGTTTTTATGATCATATATCTTTTTTGTATCGGTATTCTTTTAATTTATATTCTTATGTTTTGGTTTTCAGGTTGCTTATCAAGTGTCCCACAAATGAAAAAAATTTCCACATCGTATGAGGAAAGACGGAAGCAAGCTACTGCTATTGTTTTACTGGGAGTTATAGGAGCTGAATTCGGTGCTGAAATTGAACCTCCTAAACTGTTGACCAGACCTCGAAGCTCTAGTCAAATTCCTGAGGGATTTGGTTTGACTAGTGGTGGATCCAACTACTCACTGGCCAGACATACTTGTAAGTTTTCAGATTCCTAATGCTGGTCTATTACTTCTCAATGCATATTATTTGTTAACAAAATCTCAGAACATTGGATGTGTCCCAAGTTTTATCTCAAATGGGATGCTTAAATGGAGTTAGAAAGAAGTGTGGCCTGTTTGGCACATTCCTATAGAGTTATAGTTACCTGAACTTCTTTTTAAGAGTTAAAATAGGGTCTTTTAAAGGCTTTTCTTAATGCATTTCTGAGCTTTGTATTTTAACATTTTGGTCAAGATTTTAGGCAAACTTTATGAAAGCTAATTTTAAGTTAAAACTTCCAACTTGTAAAACAATTTCTGAAAAACTGTGCAACTTGTCCTGACCATAGTTTGAAAACTCAGGGGTGGGAGTGGAATACCAGTTTTTTCTTAAAAAAAAAAAAAGGTGAGGGCCAGCCTGGTGGCGCAGCAGTTAAGTTCGCACGTTCTGCTTTGGTGGCCTGGGGTTCGCTGGTTCGGATCCTGGGTGTCGACCTATACTCTGCTTATCAAACCATGCTGTGGCAGGCATCCCACACATAAAGTAGAGGAAGATGGGCATGGATGTTAGCTCAGGGCCAATCTTCCTCAGCAAAAAGAGGAGGATTAACAGCAGATGTTAGCACAGGGCTAATCTTCCTCAGAACAAAATAAAATAAATAAAATTTTTAAAAAAAGATATAAATATCTATGTATTTTTTTTAAAGAGCATGAATGAGGAATTATGAATTACCTCTGTAATTTAAAAAATATTCCAATAACAGTTTTTGAATGACTGAAGAATTACATTCAGAGCTCCAAGGGCTTATGTCACACTGCTACCTTCGGTTCTGTGGTTGGTATGTTAATAATAGGTAAGGGTATTTTCTAATGATGTCTTTTGGTACTTCAGTATCAGAACTCGTTTAGGTAAGGTCAAAATGTTCCTGCCATGTTGTAAAAGCATTTCTAACAAATTGTGTCATCTTAAGGACCAAATATAATCCTACTGAATATATCACAAGATACTCTTTGTAGGACAAATTGCAATGTGTTCTTTCGGGATTTTGGCCTTTAAACAAGGGAAAAAGATCTATGTTACCTTGTTAGGTATGACAGCAGAGCTCTTCACTGGATCACTGGATCGTTGTCACATACTTTTGCTGTGAAACCAAGGAGCCGTTTTACTGGTTTTTCTTGGTAAGGCCCTGCTGTAGACTTAGCTGCACCCCCGCTGTGGGCCCTTAATCCAACAAATGTTCATTAGTGGTTGGTAATCTCTTGATCTGTATTTGACATTGAGAATCAGAGAGTGATAATAACAATAACACCACCAACAATATTAAGCAGCTAATTCTTCTGAGCACAATTTTAAGCTCTTTATGTGCAATGACTGACTTAATCCTCATAATAACCTTATGAGGTAGGTACCTCAGTTATCTCCATTTTAACATAAGGCTAGCGGGGCACAGAGATGTTTGGTTAACTGGCGAGATCATACCCCCTAGGAAATGGCAATTTTTGTCTCAGCACAGTCTCTTGCTTCCAGGGCTCATGCTATTGACCAGTATGCAAATTGCCACTGTTCAATGTTTCCCAGTTGAAAAGGGCTTACTGACTAACATGTGCTATCACTTATTAACTTAAAAAGCGCTTGATTTTCTGCCCCCTCATTTCATCTTCAAAATAGAAATTAAGACTTTTTCAAAGTGACTCAGCCAAAAAGTAGTGAAACCCGAACTTGAATTCAAGCTGCTTGTGACGTGAAAACCCGTGCCCTTTGCGTTTTCCTCCTGTGCACATCCGCTTTCCCTCTCCCACGGAGGCCATGTGGAGATGGATGCTCCTTTGTTTCACATCAGCTCAGCTTCAGTAGAGATCCTTCTTTAGTTTTATTTTGATCCACAAGTGAGGCATTGTTTGAGTATTTTAGCATATTATTTATAATGTCACCTTATAGGTCTTTTGGTTCATTCTTTCATTTGGTCTTTTCTGCTCATTTTATAATTGTGGAGTTATGCTGGCACATCTGTAGTAAATCCCATTTTGATCTCTCATTAACTTTTTGACTTTGGGCAAGTGTCATAAGTTATTTCCCTAGGCAGCAGACTCTGAGACAGATTTGTGTGTAGGCATATTATCAGGATCAATACCTTTAGGGGAGTGAGAGAAGCAGGATTGGGCAGGGGGAGAATTTGAATTGCGTGTCCGTTGCCTAGAAAGCTTCAGCTTATCTCAGGGAACTCTGGAGCTGTGATGGCCCTTCAGACTTACCTGAATTGGGGCTAAGGGCTTGGCCTTTATATTCTCATGTCTGTCAGTCACTGGGATCCAAGTCCTTGGTGCCCTGAGAAGGGGGTGTGACCTGGGTGAGGCAGCTCTCTTTAACCTAGAGCAAATCCCACAGAGGGACTGAGCTGAGATTTATCAGTCACTGACACTCCCAAGAGCTTGGGGAGTGACTACTTCAGTCCTGGAGGGGAGGAGATGGGCACCCTCTCCAGGCTTCCACTCAGCATGTTACTAACTTACATGTGTCCTAGTTTCCCATTCTGTCAACAGACTGGAGAGTGGGACTACCACTTATTTAACACGCTTTTTATTCCAACTCCATACATAATCTCTTGTTACCCTGCAAGACAGATATTTTATCCAGCGCCTCGCATGATATGAGGCATATTAATATTAGCTGGTTATTGAGCATTTACTCTGTGCTAGGCATTTTGCCATGCACTTTACATGTATTATCTTGTTTAATCTTCTTTTTTTTTTAAAGATTGGCACCTGAGCTAATGTCTGTTGCCAGTCTTTTCTTTTTCTTCTTCTTCTTCTCCCCAAAGCCCCCCGGTACATAGTTGTATATTCTAGTTGTAGGTCCTTCTGGTTGTGCTGTGTGGGACGCTCCCTCAGAATGGCTTGATGAACGGTGCCATGTCTGTGCCCAGGATCCAAACTGGCGAAACCCTGGGCCACCAAAGCAGAGTGTGCGGACTTAACCACTTGGCCATGGGGCTGGCCCTTTATTTAATCGTCTAATCCTATCAAATAAGTACTGTTACTATTCCCATGTATCAGATGAGGAAACTGATGCTTTGCCCAGTACTCACTAAAGCTTTGTGAAATTGGATTAAACTTTCTTCTGCAGACAGTAAATTGATGGCAAAGGTTTAATGTTTTAAGATCATACTGCTGAAGTGTCAAGCCTGGACTTGAACAGCTATCTTCCAACTCTAAATCAGTATATTTTCACCATTTCACACAGTCTTTTTGTGTTATAAACAAGAAAGATTCAAAAGTGGTGCTGCAAAAAAGATGGGGGAAGTCAGCAAGTACCAGGTCACCTTTAAATATGGGCATCTATTGAATCATTCATTTAGGGATGTGCTAGTGCCATGGAGATATAAATGTGTACAAAATCCATATCTCTGTTTAGAAATACTATAGTGCTCATGTTCTTCAGCTAGTCAAGGTAGATGACCTCGCTGCTGTTACGTGGAAAATGCTATGTATATGTGCATTTGTGTTTCTATTCTGGGAAAAGGAACAGCAGATTCCATTCAATACTCAAAAGAAAGTCATTAAAATAAAAATGGTTAATAACTCCAAGAGTTCGTTGGAATAAATTCCTTCTCTATTATGGTTTTTTAAAAACAGTATAATTATATTTTATATGAACTCTTTACTAGTGCCACTGTAATATCACCAAATGGAAACCTCAGTTAGATGCTACCTAAGGGATATTTTAATTCTGTGAAACCTGTATTTTGAGTTTTATGTGGTTCTGGTGCTATGTTTGGTTTTATTTTGTTGTAGTCTACCATTGTGAAAATGATCCCCCACATACTTTGCATGCTTTATAACCATGCATATTTTATTCAGTGAATATATTAATATTGGTTGAAGATGATTTTATAATGAATTTATTTCCTGAATTTTAAGGTAAAAAAGTTAAACCTAATCTCAAATGTTTTATCAGCAAGATTAAGACAAAGTCACTAAATTGCAATTAATAACAAAACTCGTGGTAGTTGCACGTTATGGAAAAAAGCAACGATGAGAAAAGCATCATGTCATTTGCAAGAATAAGCAGTGACAAAAGAATGGGTATTGTCACTGTTCACAAACAAATCATCAGATTGTGTTGCTGAGCTGCTGCTGTAGCCATAGAGATTGCCTTGCTGTTTGCTTTCCCTCGTGTTTCTGAGCCCGCCTTCCTGGCACTTGGGAAGTAATCCTGCCTTCCTGTCTGGCATCTTGCTCCACTCCCCACCTCATCCACTCTTCTCATTGCACTAACTCAGCATGCCATGCACTTTACCACTACTTCTCTTTGGTAATTTTAGCTTTGAAGATCATCCTGATTCCAGGGGCCACTTGACATGCGTTGCCATTACATCTTCTGTGTTTAGAACAGTAGTTCTTCACTCTGGCTATGCACTAAAATCATTTACATTTATATTACTCTCAGAGCTAATTGTTTAGGTGGTTCAGCCTTTTTACTGGAATTTCGTTATTCTGGATTGCTTGGGTTTGAATCTTGACATCACCACTCCGTGTGGCCTTAAATGCTCTGTGGCTCAGTTTCTTTATCTAAAAAATGGGAATAATAATAGGACCTACGTCACAGAGTTATTGTGAGGATTAAGTAAATTAATGTATGTAAGGCATTTAGAAAAGTGCCTGACATATGTGTTATGTTAGTATTTATTGTAGTTACTAGAAATATTTATAGAAGAATAAAGAAAAGAAATAGCTCAAGCATCTGCTGTGTACTAGGACATTTATATGTGTATATACTACTTTTTAAAATCTTCCTAAGAACCTTGTGAGGTAGGTATTACTATCAACATTTTATATATGAGTGAACTGATACTCACAAAAACAAGTAACTTCCTTAAGCTTATCTGTCTTGTAAGGGATTTGAATCTAGAGGCATTTTTTTTTTCCTGAAACCCAAAATATTCTTTTCTGCACCGTATACTGATTCCTACTGTTTGTGGTAAAGCATATTAGTTCCTA